CATGATATAAACAGATTTATAATCTATCTACAACAATCATCATCATTTATACACAAAGAACTGAAAATAGAAAATATTTCTCAGATTATACCATATACACACATACACATGGATATATCTGAATTGTAATTGACTTATGATCTAAAATCTCAATTTGGGTAATAAATACATTATTGAAGATCATAGAACGATTTTCAAAGAAACTCATTGTGTCTGTTATTGTTTTGTCTTTCATGAAGATCCCACGGAAATGTTTTTATTTTGACTCATTGAGTTCTTCAGATAGTAGTATACAAAAAGTCGACGCTGGTGCACCTTTTTGCCCAAACTTGATTTTTTACACTTTTTCACTATTCTAATGCACTAAATCATCAAAAATCATGCTTAACATATCAAAAATCCGTCATTTCTAAAAAATGAGCATTTTTGGGCTAGCTCAACTTCTGCTCATTTTACCCACTTGTCGAAAGTCACGCTTTCTCATATTCTCAGCTCAATGAAATACATCTTTTTGAAAAATATAAAAATGAAGATCAGGAGGTGAGTATAGCGCAAGAACGATAAGAACATTCATTTTATGTAAAGTGAGATAACAAAAACGTAAAAATGACTTCAGAATACTGGTTCTTCTGCATCGCATCTTCAGCCCAAAGCGTTAACCACTACCATCATGAGGGTACACGCGCATCATTATCTTATGACCACTCATCAACGACTCATCAATGATGAGGTATAACGGTAGCTGAAACAACAAACAACATCAAAAATAAACTGACATGTAAGGAAGGAAGAGGAGAACACAACACATTCTCCACACACACACTTTCTCTCTCTCACCCCTCGCTGCTGGCTGTCTCCTCTGCGTCTCTGCCAGGCCGCGCTGGGTTCATAACGGAGAACTCTTCAAGATGATAGGCGGCACACATAGCGCAGTCGGTATGCGCCTCGGCAGACGTGCTGAGAATATAGCAAGGTACTGGTTCAATTCCCAATTGTGCCGCCCGTTTTTGCCATTTTTGTTTCACTTATTACTTTGGTTTTACAATCACACAAAGCCAATAAATAGAAAATGGAAGAGTTGTTAACGCATTACACGAGTTTTGGAGTTTTGTTCTCTATTAAATGACTATATTTGGGCTTTGAAAAAACCTTAAGCCATTAGCCAATATAGATCTCGAAGAGCTCGTCAATGAGTAAGATTCAAGAACTTCCGAGGTATATTCATGAGAGATACTTTGCCGAGTAAAGGAATTGGAGAAAGAGAAGTCGGAATTGTAAATTTAGATTCTTCTGAAGGTAAAGATACTCATTGGGTTCGTTATAACGAAAATAGGAAAATAATGTATTACTTTGTGTCGAGTATGAACCGAGCAGAGCTCATTTCCATTACAGGCCATAAAGCTGTCAAACAAACGTCGCCGTAGATCCGTAACCCGTGCCATGAACACGTTCCCCGCTGCAGCCGCTCATCAGCGTAAGCCCGAAAGGACATTACATTTATTCATCTCTAGTATATATAGATATTATCATGTCATTAGCTTGTCTTATTTGATATAAACATTCTTCGAGAACTACCGGTGTACCTTTATTCATCCCGCTACTACCCTTGTAGAACCAAGACATAACGTGGAGGTTCCGCCTATCTGAACCCGCGTCGCTAATACTCTACAGATCAGCAGCACCAGCCCAACCCTCGTAGAAGACTAGAAGTCAAATGTCTTTCAGGAAATCCGTTGATATCGGTTTATTACCTAGTGAGCCGTATAGTGACTGTCGCGTGCGTTGGAACTCATCATTTCAGATGATGAAGAGCTTCCTGGAAAAGGTAGCAAATTTTGATTGGTTGGAAACAACAAAAAACTTACAGGATTACTGAAGAGAATAAACTTACGCAACAGGTGTTTTTCAGCTTCTTAACAGTTTTAGCCACCAAATTCCTTTTCGTAGCTACATTATGTTCTTCAGGAAGAAATTATGGCAGTAACGTCTCTATGAGTTGCCAAACTTTCATTTACCTAAATGAAAAATTGAAGGTCTGCAATGGTTGAAAAAATAAAGCTCCTGCGAATCTTTAAATTGTCGGGATTATTAAGTAGTATAGTGATTTACAAACCTTTAAAAAGTAGAAGGAACCAAACTTCAGCTTCCGCTTCTCTTATGTTCATTAAAGTAGAGGGCGGCTGAAAAAGTAAAATATATAGTATACATGAAAAAGGATGAAGGAGATTGTTACCTTGAAATTGGACTCCAATCTTTTAAGAACATTACAAACATTGATCTCGAACGTCTTCTCATTTTTGATGTGCGGAAATGAGCGAGTTTCTTTATGAAAAACTTTCAAATCCATTATCAGTAGTACATAGCAAATCAAAGCAAAGCAAAGCTTCTGGCACGCAGCACGTATGACGCCTCATAGAACGAGACCAAAATTAAAGGTCGATTGAAAACATAGCGAGACCAATTACAGTGTAACACTAACATTATACTATAACTACAATCCCATAAACTGTTCAAAATGACTAACCCTAAATGGGTAGATCATTATGTGAATGTTGATTGGCCCAATCTCTCCATCAGAACTAACCCAAAATGTGGAAAAGGTCAAAAATTGTATAGTTTAATTTTTTATTATAGTTAACTTTTAGGGGTTTTTGCCGAAACCACATTCAATAAAGGTGATGTAGTCACATGCTATTATGTAATCCGTGGACATGGATGAATACAGTATTAGTGTTGGAAGTAGAGGAGTTGCCATAAACGGGCACGCTCACGCCATGCTGTTTGAGGAGAGCGACGGTCATAGATACTATGGCAACCTTGTGAACCATGCTGTAGGAGGGCATGCTAACGTTAAAATTGAGAGTAGAGAGATCTCTCCTCTTGGTAAAGGGCTGGTGACACTGTCAAAAAAAAATTGTGGAAGGACAGCAGCTGTTAATGGCCTACTATAGGTTAGTTTTTTATCTTATTATTCAGTATATTTCTCATTTTAGTGGTGGAGGGAGAGGGC